TGAAAATATAGAATTTTATATTTTGGGAGATTTAAATTGTAATATGCTAGAACCAACTTTGTCCACCACTAGAAAGCTTCAAGACGTTTTGGAATTATATCAGCAGCTTACACAATTAATTAATAACCCTACGCGTATTACCCAGTCTAGCCAATCATTATTGGATGTAGTAATTGCGTCAATGCCTGAAAAAATAATTTTTTCAGGTGTAGTCCATCTCGGAATTAGTGATCACAGCCTCATTTATAGTATTCGGAAAATAAATACAAGAATAAAAACTGATTTACAAGGTTCTGTCGAGTATAGAAATTTTAAGAATTTCAATGTTTCAGACTTTCTATATGACTTACAAAATATACCCTGGGAAGAAATAAGATTTAAAAGAAATGTAGATGAAATGTGGCGGTTATGGAAAACATTTTTTGTAGATGTGCTGGATAAACATGCCCCTGTGAGAGTAAAAAGATTAAGAAAATGGGGCAATATTCCTTGGGTAAGCCGGGAAGTAAAGGAAAAATTATTTAAAAGAGATGCTCTTAAGCGTAAAGCAATAAAGACAAATAAAGAAGAAGACTGGAGACTATATAAGTCATCTAGAAATGTTGCCAACACTGCTTTGCGCAGTGCTAAAAGAGATTATTATGCAAACAAATTCACAAATAGTAAACAGAATCCTAAATATGCTTGGAGAACAATAAACGATATATTAGGTCGAAACAAAAAACAGACTACGATTAGTGAAATTAAACTCCCAGGTAAAACTGTTACATCGACCGACGAATTAGTCGACATTTTTAATGATCATTTTTGTAATATTGGCCCAAAGCTTGCTGAGTCTATTCCAAATGACAATGACGTTAGTTTTAGAGATTTTATTACTCAACAAAAATCTAAGACAAAGAACAGTTTCTCATTTCGACCAGTGAGTGTAACATTGGTTTACACTCTTCTAGTTAATTTGTCTACCACGGTAGTATGGGGAAGGGGGGTTCTGGCGCGGGTGGAGAGGGTGGAACACTAGAGCTCCACCCATTACGTCATCAGTATATCATATCATACCAATTACACGCTTGTAATGCATTTAAAGAATGTGGTGGACCGATGATTACTAGCGTTTTAAGAAAATTTTTACGGTTTAATACTTTGCTAATATATTTATCTCCATATCTATTCCTTCTAACAACCTGCGTGGTGTTGAACAGTTAACACATTCTCGATATATATTCTACTAAAGTTGTTGTAATGCTTGTGGGAATTAGATATTGTACGCATGCGCAGTGAGAATTGGGTATTACGAAAATTCTTGGCTTATAGGAGCTTGCAAAAATTCCGGGGGGGGGGGGATTCTGCAGAGAATACCCCAGTTTATTCAAAATTCGCCAAAATCATAAAGACAGTAGAAATAGAGTATAAAGGTGTACTTGAATTCACCGTATTACAAGGTTTTATTAGATTATCTTAGAGTGTCCACTACTTTAACACCATCCTTGGTCTTACCTGGGGATGTATTCACCATGTTTAGGACAGTTAAATAAGGAATAATAAAAATCTAGACATACATATGAAAATTTTTAAACAGAACTAAGCAGTTGCTAAGCCCAAGTTAAAATCGTTGTCAACGCCGTTGTTATGGTCAATATTTGCATATTACAGAGTCATTAAAAAGTGATCAACTCGCCCACCCCGTGTGGATATATACAATTTTTTATTTCACCCAGCGCGCTTGAGATAGGAAAAAATACGAAAAACACACAGAGAGTTATTACAGATGACATGCAAGCTATATCGAAGTTTTGTCGTTTCCGGCTCTCTAAAACGTATAACACCAAAGTCATTAACAGTCATTCATGAATTACAAGTAAAATTGCAATCAATTAAACTAATATTTAAATCCCGTTCTGCCATATGGGGTCTGGGAGAGAATATGTTGCTGTCTAGAGTTATATAAACACATGGAAGTTAGAGGTCATGATATATAATTGTGAAGCGATTTCTATATTTTAGTGCTAAGTTTTTAAAGTACTAAAGCTCGGATAAGGTTAATACATTTAAGCCGTTAATAAACTAAGGTTAACATAATTTAAGCCGTTGCTATGTGTTGTTACGGTAAAACTAATTAAAGGATTAACTTTTTATCAGAGATTTGCATTTTCTACTGTGTGGATAAATACGGGTAGATTAGGATATTCGTTGCGAGGGCGTCGCGGGTTATCCGTGCGGGTTGGAAACACAACAATAATGAGGTTTATATTGGAAGAGAGAAAGCAATTTAGACAATGCAGGAGCGCTTTGCAGCCAAAAGTTTACACAAGAATTCAATCTTAAAATACATTTATTTCTTCGAGACGTTTACAAAGTTAATGTGGTCTACTTCTTAGAGCATAATGTGTTTGATTTTATTTAAATTACGCACAACAATTTAAATGGTTTTTTTTGTAATAAGAGTTGTTTGGCTTAATTGTTCATTCGCCATGGTTTCTATACCCCTAGCCCTACATCAACCCTACATCGACCCTACATCGACCCCACATCGACCCCACATCGACCCCACATCGACCCTACATCGACCCCACATCGACCCTACATCGACCCTACATCGACCCTTATCTTCATCTTCTTATCTTCCTTATCTTTATCTTCCTTATCTTTATCTTCCTTATCTTTATCTTCCTTATCTTTATCCTCCTTATCTTTATCTTTTTATCTTCTTTATCCTTATCTTTATCTTCCTTATCTTTATCTTTTTATCTTCCTTATCCTTATCTTTATCTTCTTATCTTTATCTTCTTATCTTCCTTATCTTTATCTTCCTTATCCTTATCTTTATCTTCCTTATCATCCTCGAATGGCTTTAGGATTCAATGATTCACTCTTATGATTCAATGATTCACTCTTATGATTCAATGATTCAATCTTATGATTCAATGATTCAATCTTATGATTCAATGATTCACTCTTATGATTCAATGATTCAATCTTACTATTCAATGATTCAATCTTAGGATTCAATGATCCACTCTTATGATTCAATGATTCAATCTTACGATTCAATGATTCCATCTTACGATTCAATGATTCAATCTTATGATTCAATGATTCACTCTTAGGATTCAATGATTCACTCTTATGATTCAATGATTCAATCTTATACTCCCTGGGCTCGGAGCCAGCTCCTTAGGCTCGAAGCTTTACAGAAACTTCACAGAAGCTTTACAGAAGCTTTACAGAAGCTTCACAGAAGCTTTAGCTTCTGTAAAGCTTCTGTGAAGCCTCTGTAAAGCTTCTGTAAAGCTTCTGTAAAGCTTCTGTGAAGTTTCTGTGAAGCTTCGAGCCTAAGGAGCTGGCTCCGAGCCTAGGGAGTATAAGATTGAATCATTGAATCATAAGAGTGAATCATTGAATCCTAAGAGTGAATCATTGAATCATAAGATTGAATCATTGAATCGTAAGATGGAATCATTGAATCGTAAGATTGAATCATAAAAGTGGATCATTGAATCCTAAGATTGAATCATTGAATAGTAAGATTGAATCATTGAATCGTAAGATTGAATCATTGAATCATAAGAGTGAATCATTGAATCATAAGATTGAATCATTGAATCATAAGATTGAATCATTGAATCATAAGAGTGAATCATTGAATCATAAGAGTGAATCATTGAATCGTAAGAGTGAATCATTGAATCCTAACGCCATTCGAGGATGATAAGGAAGATAAATATAAGGATAAGAAAGATAAGAAGATAAAGATAAGAAGATAAAGATAAGGATAAGGAAGATAAAAAGATAAAGATAAGGAAGATAAAGATAAGGATAAAGAAGATAAAAAGATAAAGATAAGGAGGATAAAGATAAGGAAGATAAAGATAAGGAAGATAAAGATAAGGATAAGGAAGATAAGAAGATGAAGATAAGGGTCGATGTAGGGTCGATGTAGGGTCGATGTGGGGTCGATGTAGGGTCGATGTGGGGTCGATGTGGGGTCGATGTAGGGTCGATGTAGGGTTGATGTAGGGTTGATGTTGGGCTAGGGGTATAGAAACCATGGCGAATGAACAATTAAGCCAAACAACTCTTATTACAAAAAAAACATTTAAATTGTTGTGCGTAATTTAAATAAAATCAAACACATTATGCTCTAAGAAGTAGACCACATTAACTTTGTAAACGTCTCGAAGAAATAAATGTATTTTAAGATTGAATTCTTGTGTAAACTTTTGGCTGCAAAGCGCTCCTGCATTGTCTAAATTGCTTTCTCTCTTCCAATATAAACCTCATTATTGTTGTGTTTCCAACCCGCACGGATAACCCGCGACGCCCTCGCAACGAATATCCTAATCTACCCGTATTTATCCACACAGTAGAAAATGCAAATCTCTGATAAAAAGTTAATCCTTTAATTAGTTTTACCGTAACCACGGGCAATAGGACAGGTGTAGTGTTGTTAAATAAAAAGTATGAAATGGTATTGTACTTACCAATGTATTATAATTATGTTTAGAAGATCAGAATATTCATAACTTCTTATTTTGTTTCATAAATAGTTCTTTAATTTTTTAAACAAATTCCATATCTGTTTCGTCTGCCATCGCCATGTTTACTCGTCCCAATCTACATGCTGCACGGCATTGCCGCCCCTCCTGGCAAAATAATAAGCAAGCGAAAAAAATTAGAAGAAAATAAGAGGGTAGGAACATCGTTGTCATAAGCTGGATGCAGTGACACTTCCATATATGGCACAAACGTATCCATAACTTCCATATATGGCACAAACGTATCCACGACGCGTTTTATAACGTTTTATTTGACGTAGGGATGACGTGTAATGCTGCTTCCCGCCTATGACGATTTGAATTAGTCATGTGATACAAGATTGAGAAAGCTGATTCGCCCAGAACGATGACACGCCCACGAAACGCCCACAATGTTCCTACCCTCTTATTTTCTCCTTAATTTTTCTCGCTTGCTTATTATCTTGCCAGGAGGGGCGGCAATGCCGTGTAGTATGTAGATTGGGGCGAGTAAACATGGCGGCGGCAGACAAAGTGGTATGTTTTGCTACCGGAAAATGGTATATATAACCACCGTTGCGACCATCTAACTAATACAGCGTAAAAAACACCACTTCAAAGCTTTTATCGTTATATTTTTGTTCCTTTTTATTCAGGAGCAGTTTTACGTTTATAAATTAGCTCAATTATATGTTTATCTTGTATTTTAGGTTTTATATCTATGGTTTTATTTATACAGCCCACGATGTGGCATCCATTTGCATCCCATATTAATGGTGTGGACGCGTGTTATAATTGGAGAGTGGTACTAGTGCTGCAGGAACAAAATAACAAATTTTAATATTTTATAGTGTTTTATAACAGTATATAAAAGTCTTTCATCCTCGTGGTCTTTAATATATTTAATATATAGTCTGATAGTCATAGTGTATTATCTGTGTATATTGTGAAATCATTTGAAGAAATGTGGAAAGAAGTTCAAACAACTTTTGTTACTTTACAAAATCTAGTGTTGATCATAAAAGGAAGTTTCCAACCAAAGAATCGGTATGAAAATTTTTGTATTGTTGATATATTTTATTATTAGGTCAATGAAAATTGATATCATGTTTCTCATCCACAATTTTCAAAAATTTGGAGCGGGATTTTTTTCATTATTTTTTGTATTTGAAATCTGCTTGTCAATAATTTTCTTGACACAGTAAAAACCCCCATAAAAATCTGAAGTATATCGGTGTATAATTAATTTTAATTTAATACGTCCTACACTACAGTATATTTCTACACATACCAGGGCTGACATGAAAAATAGAAGCACTCTGGCGAGTAATACCTTTAGAAAGATACA